TTTCTTTTTGATTTATCTTTCAGCTTACCAATATCCGGAGGATTCTTATTATCCTTGATAACCTCCGGCGCGCGACGATCCCATCCAATTTGGTATTGAACCAACATCACGTTGATTCTGGTGGGAGAGTAGTGTAGTAGCATTGGACAATAGCTACACAATCCACAAAGCTGTGAACACGAGACTACTCAAAAAATAGATATTCAATATTTAACGCGGAGAAATACCTAACAATGGAGAAGGCGCGAACAAGGAATTGAATGGACTGGGTTTGATCGGATGGCATGGCTCGTCCATGCAGGCGTGGTCCATCCCAATGTTACTTTATATCTTCTATTCATATTAAATATATTGTTCTTTCTCTAGCCTAACCTTGTTCTACATCATATATTGGTAATTGATACGATACAGTGAGTTGGTGTAGTTGATGGTGTGACTTCCACGTAAGATCTTATAGATTAGGCAGTTATATCATGACAAATCTACAAATTTAGGATTAGGTCTATTATAAGGGCAGTACTAATATCATAGCAGACCATAAATCTACATACTCACTGAAGACGCTGGGCGAAGACTGTTCTCTGTCAAACCCTTTATTTCATTGTAGTGAACGAAAACACGAGTGGGGGATAATCGAAAGTATTTGAACACAAAATTGCAGAATTTCTAGTAAAATCTGAGAACCATGCAGTAAATACTTCATTTAAAAAATGTAAATCAATCGTCTCAGAATTGATTGTTCTTTCGTTTCTACAGCAATTATTCTCTGTTTTCGTTCTCATTTCTTCGATCTTCTTAACCTTCTGCAGCCAGGTTTTTTTATTTCCGATTGATGATACACACTATTTATATCTATCGACATCAGTAGCACACACCACACCATCAGACTCTAACATGATCAAAAGCTTATTTTAAAACATACAGTTTTTGGATTCTACTCCGTGTGAGTGCACAAGTATGTTCGAAGTTTGCAACGACGATGACACTATTACTCCCTATTTGGTGGTTTAGAGATGAAGATTAATCCACTATTGATTGACAGCATTACATACTTACTTACGCCTGTTACTCCTAATGGAGCACAGGCCATCGTCTAGCATTCTCCAACCCACTCCGTCCAGAATATTCCTTTCTAATTCCATCAGGTTGTTGTTCATTCTTCTAATGTCTCTCTCCATTTCTCGGTGTAATGTGTTCTTCGGTCTTCATCTTCTCCTTTGGTTTTGAGGATTCCAAGCGGGGGCTTGCCTTGTGACACAGTTGAGTGCTTTCCTCACTGAGTGTTCTACCCACTTCCAGCGCTTCTTCTTCATTTCTCCCTCTGCTGGAATCTGTTTCTGCTCCCACAGTAGGTTGTTGCTAATAGTGTCCGGCCAACGGATCCGAAGTATTTGCGTAGACAATTGTTAATAAACACTTATATCTTCTGGATGATGGCTTTTGTAGTTCTTCAGGTTTCCGCCCCATATAGTAGAACTGTCTTGATATTTGCATTGAAAATTCTGACCTTGGTGTTGGTTGACAACTGTTTTGAGTTTCAGATGTTCTTCAGTTGTAGATATGCTGCTCTTGCTTCTCCGATCCGCGCTTTCACATCTGCATCAGACCCACTATGTTCATCTACGAGGTCTAGATCTTCCAGCTGCATCCTAGATGTCCACTGTATCCCGTGCTTCTCCCCAGATGTTGATGTCTTCATGATCCAGTCGATCACCAGGAGAAAGAGGAAGTGTGAGAATAAGTAACCTTGCGAGACGCCGGTCTTAACTTCGAACGTGTCTGTGACCTGTCCTCCATGCACGATTTTGCAGTTCAATTCATCATAGGAATTCTGTATGATATTGACTATCTTCTGAGACACGCCGTAGTGTCGAAGAAGCTTCTGTAGTGTTGTTCTGTCCATGAAATAAAATGCTTTTTCGTAGTCAACGAAGGTGATGTAGAGTAGTGAATTCCATTCAATTGATTGTTCCACAATGATACGTAGAGTTGCTATTTGGTCTGTACACGATTGATCCTTACAGAATCCATCCTGTTGGTCTCGAAGTTGGGTGTCTACGGAGTCCTTCATTCAGTTTAACAACACCTTGCCGTAGATTTTTCCTGGTTTTGATAGAGTTATGCCTCTGTAGTTCTCACACTTGCTGAGATCGCCATTCTTCGGCATCTTGATCAGGTGTCCTTTTTTCCGGTCTTTTGGTGCTTGTTCTTCATCTTAAATCTTGCTGAGGAGAATTTTGAGTATCTTTGCAGGTGCTGTTATGTCAGCTTTTAGTGCCTCTTCTGGAATGTTGTCTGGTCCTGCTGCTTTACCGCTCTTTATTTGCCTGATGGCCATGCTGATCTCGTCAATCGTTGGTGGGCCAAAATTGAGTGGGAAACGAACTGCTCTTTCAAACAAACTAAAATCGACAAGTCCTCTTTTCTCAGTAGATCCAATTGCATTCACCGATTCACATGTACGTGCCACAGCACATACATTGGAAGAACTGAGAGAAGAGTACACGTTCGCATTTCTGAGCATGTTACAAAAAACTTGAGGCCGAAAGGGACTAAGGCTCTCAGTAGTGCAATAGCTCAGCATTTACTTGTCACCGGGCATACCATCAATATTCCGCACGCTTTTAAAATTATCAGTAGACAAAAACGTACGATTGAGATCCGTTTTGCCGAAGCGATCGCGATAAGAAAACTTAAACCGGATTTATGTATTCAGAAAGAGACAGTAGTTAACTTATTATAACCCTGGTAATCCATTTTATTTTTTAATTTTTACTTTATTGGTTGTTTATTTACGCAATCTTAATTATTTTTAAAATATTTAATCTGTGTTATATTCCCCTCCTCCTCTACCATTACCGAACTTGTAAACCAACCTTTCGTCCACACATTTACGCCCACTTTTCCTCTTAAGTTTTCTTAGCTTTTCAACTTCCATTCAACTATTACGTAACCTATTTTATCACTTAATTCCATGAATCCTTCACTACCTCTAAAATTATCACACAATGTATAATTCCACTAAACCATCAGAGCATCTTTCCTCAATTGTTTTCTTAATTCTAACACTAATTAACCTCTGACCTGTTCTTGCATCTATATATATATGGTTATTATTATAAACCTTTGTCATTCTAATCATTTACATTCATTTATGTCAATCGTTTTACACTATTTCTTATCTCAATGTAAAATTCTACTACATATTTGGTTGTCAGCAGCTGACGAGAAATCTCGAAATACTATGAATTCATACTATTTTGTATCAGTGTTTGTTCTTGCTTTATTGGAATTGAATGGGAGGTCCGTTGGTGCTGCTTCGTTGTTGGGAAGGCGTAGATTCACAGTGTAGGGCCAGTGAAATGTCACTGAGCCCTAGCCAAATCATCCGGCAGTTGGATCACTGAATGTCGAACAGATCGTCGCTCCCTGCCAAGGTCATGTACTACAAACGCGCATTAGTTAATCATACGCCATGGACTGGCCCATGCGGCAGTGGTCTTACTTTCGCCTGTATCTACCTTAACTAATATATTTCTGTAATAACGTCCTTTGTGTTGTACAGTCTTCAAAGCATCTATAGTACCTTGTTACGTCAATGGGGGTAGTCTACGTAAGGTGCTGACCACGAGGTGTGACTTCGACGTTAGTTGGTTCGTCACACCATTCACGTCTAACTGGAGTAGGCCTCCAATCATTTCGACATAGATCATCTACGTTGGTGATCTACAACAGTATGGTTTAAATTTTTGTTTTCAGTTAAAATATATGCGTTTGTCTCCAATAAATGTGATCATAAATCGCGAGATATACCTTAATCGTGAGTTATATCTTCCGCTGATCCAACGGTTAGTCAAATTAGTATATGCCGTACGTAACAACAATGTAAAGTTGATACGTGTAGGTAGAAATCTATTCCTAAACAGTGAATGTAGCAGTTTCCGCATATCACCTTCACTATGCTATGTTTGTAACGTCAACGCATTATGGTAACTTGGGAGTTTAGCACTACGTCTCTTGATCCGATTCCAATGATACCTACCTTTGAAAGACTAGATTTACGTCAATATATATGGTCCATAGTTGTGTGACCATAGTGGGAAGGAAACGCGTATGAGTTAGAAGCAAGAAATCACTAAACATATTTTCCCATAAGCATTCCAAGTGCCTTCCGATAGCATCGGTGACCGTTTTGTTCAGTGTAATAACTGAAGACAGTCACATATGCTTCGAAAGTGCGGACCATCAGGTAGTAAAGCTATGCTTATAGAATATGAGGCCATCCTATCACTTGAAGACTTCTAAGAATGAAGAAAGGCAATAGATAAAAAATCCGACTCAATATAACTCCCTTATGAAGAAGCAAAGGGTTTGCAAAAAACCTCTTCTCTATGACCTAGATGACTGAGCCACATTCGCATTCCAAAAGATTGGTTTCAAATAAATGGATAATTTCTTCGAATGACCGAACTCTAAGTAAATAATGTCACAACTTATTGCATGTGATCGTCCCCATTATATACTTTCGGAATTGACGGTCTCTCCATTTCAGAATCTTTAGTGAACACGCTCAACTCTAGTATGTAATTCTCCAAATAACAAAATATCTATCACGGTTCACAACAGTCACTGTCTATAGCAGTCAAATTGTCCTTGTAAAAACCTGTTTGCTTCGCCTGAAAGGCTAAAATATAATGCTGAAAATATATCGCGATGAAAAACGATGAAGAATCGAGGCTGTTTGCAAAATATTAAGTTTGCCTGGCTTATTAATAGGTTATTACTTATTTGATAAACATGCAATGGGACTGCTTTTTATTCCTAGATTTCTCAAACTAATAACATGTTCCGTTCGTAATCACTTCTAGACCTTATCAAAATTCCTTTCTGATATAAGACAGTTTAACAAATGAAATGTGAGGCGAAACACTGGTTCAATGTACAGTAAGGTAGTTGCGGGATTACAAATTTGGCGTGATTAGGTTATTTGATTGGGAATCATGAAGGTGATCGTTAAGTCGTTTGATACCCGAGTCATAGACACAAATGACTGTCCAACTGCTGCAGATCTAAAGATTTTACTAGCAAACAAAGACAATTTGCCACTGGATAACTTGCAGTTATACAACTGTGGATCATTAATTAGTGATTCTCAATCTTTGGTATCTCTGTCGAGTGACGCAACTGTCGATGTCGTTGTTCCGGCATTAGGAGGTACGTATTTTTGTGTCTGTCCACATTTCTTCAGGTAAGGTACACGGATCACTTGCGCGTGCTGGTAAAGTTCGTGGGCAAACCCCGAAGGTTGAAAAACAAGAAAAACGGAAGTCTCCACGAGGTAGAGCTAAGCGTAGGATGCAGTACAACAAGCGATTTGTAGCAGTTGTACAACAACCTGGTGGCAGAAGAAGAGGCCCGAATTCTAATGTAAAGTCATCTTAAAGTGAATGTCGAATAAACCTTTTGTTGGAAGTTATTCTCTATATTTTGTACCAAGTTTTTTTAACCCTCAAACTAGTTTAATTTCAAGTACAGCTTGTCATTATTCCAGCTGTGTCGAGTGACACCATTATTGAAACAATTGTCACTAGTCGTTACCTTTATTGTACTGAAAGTTTATTTCATGAAATCAAAACCCAAAGTTAAAAGAACTTCATGAAACTCTAGACCCTATAAACGACAAAGTAGAGGAATGATTCTCTCGAAGAAGTGGTGAGTTATGCGTTAAGTGGGTTTGTAAGAGCAGTTAACAGCAGTGTCTCAATGTTACTGGGTTACATTGTGTGGCTCCTTGTTAAGGTATACTCTTCAGCATTTCAACATTTTTCTATATATGGTTACAATTAAGTGTGAGAACTATGTACTCCTGCAACTTTCGTCACAAAACACCGTATAATCTGTTGGTAGATACTTCAAGTGCCCACTAGTTCATAACAAACCTGACGGGTTCAGTAGGAAGTGACGGACATCTATCTGCCCCTTCATCGTGATGTCTTATTATACGGGACCTTGACATTTGGTTTTCATGTCATAATCTAAGATGTCCATGGTCTCACATTTACAGTCACATGGATTAGGAAGGTAGTTACTAACTTTGCGATGCATTAGCGATTTCTCTTTTGCTACGTTGGGTATTTGTGTCTTCATTCTAGTAAATATAACTAATAGAATGAACAGGAATCCTGATAAATGGACTGACTGGTTCAAAGTCAACACTACCTTTCATATTCAAAAAACTAAAATATTGTTTTGAGAGTTATCTAGAAGACTTATCTCAGTAATGTATGTCATAGACCAAGTTCATGTTAATCCACTTAGCTTTAAATTCTTTGTGAGAATCTCTACCTAGCTACCAAAACTGAAGAATGAGGCGTTACTAGTGATTGCCAACAATCACCAAACATGTTGACTTAATTACTTGAAGCTTTGGCTTATTAAGAAAAATATTTTTCCGCTTAACTGTTTCCATCCTGTATGGTATATGGATGTTTTAATTGTTCTAAAATGTTTAACCTAGGCTGACAGCTGAAATGCGAGGTTTATTATACATGAAATTTTCATTCGATTCTAGGATAAATGACCAAGTCAGTGGAGTGCAACAGACAAGTTTGCAAGTGTCCTCATACACCACAGGTTACTAATGTCAAACGATGCCACAGTGAGAACTAATTTTTCTAAAAATCACTTAGAATAAAAACTAAGTAGAATGAAAATACACAACTTGTACATGATGACACCATTTGGATAGTTAATTTGAATGAAAATGGATGTAAAGAAATATATAAATGAGCACCATATGACTCAGAGAAAATGTGCACTGAATTGCTCCCGTCTATTTGTATTATGGTGCTTTCTTCCAGGTAAAACGGGTTTGTTATTTCGTAATTAGTATGTATCATTGCAATAAATTGGACGTTGGGATCCAGTCAGAAGCAGGAATTCAGCCTAAGGTCAGATGTCGATCATACGTAGCAGTTTACTTTAAGGCGAATGAAATGTGCTCATAGATTAGGATCATTATGCGTTTTTAGATGAAGGCTGGAGTGGCAGCTGTCTTTTCATTTTAGAACGTGAGAATCCTTTGATCGGTTCGAATTTCGTATCTTCCCCAACACTTGGGTTCAAGAACAATTCCTAAATAAAATGATAATTAACCTATTAGGTCGCAAACACCGTTATATTTTTGATGTAATACTATGTTTGTCTTCGACAAAGCTGGACTGTACCAACTTTGTAGTGAACTAAAACTACAAGGTAAAATTTGATCAGCGGCGTAATGCATATACAAATAACTGAGCTATACCACAGTTCCTACGACAAGTTCTGTCATATTGTCTTACACAAGTAACTCCCTTAAATGCTTTCCACATGTACAATGATAGGACCTGTAAGATAACAGTGTCATCATGATACTGAATCTAGCATATATATCAGTGTCTTGACACGCAGCAGCGTTCCATAGAGTTTATCAAAAAGACCTTCCTAAATAATTAATTATCAATTTATCACGAGTATAACTATTGGGTTCATTGATTGTCATCTACGTTCAGTCGATGGTTGAAGCCAGTAATCTCAGTGACCTGATAATCATCTTATTTCATGCCAGTAAACTTGCTCACGCCCAATCATCAAATAAGGTGTTCGGGATATGAATTACTTTTGTCCAACCGTTCCCCACCGGAATGCATTATGTTGACTCGTATAGGTTGGAAAAAAGCTAGGCTCACCCAAACTAGGACATGTTATCAGTCCATGAAGCTATTGACTGTTGGAGAGCAGTGTTTTTAGGTACAGACAATATGGTTGAGGTCGGCATGATTATCGTGACTAATGTTTAGAGACTGGTTAATATGGTTCAGAATTATTCAGTGACGCATATGCATTCACTCCGTCTTACCTTAGATCCCGAGTTTACCAATTATCTTTTATATTTAGTCCTACGAATCCATGTTTCTGTGATTATATCTGTCCTTGATCTTCCCTGCTATCACTAATATTGTTACTACTTAACTTGCTCTGGCGTCCCACATTTCTGATGTAGTGTAGCGACTTTAACCGACGTATTTGTGCCTGTTCTTACATTATGTTTGACTGATTTACTCTTCATACCTATCTAACTGATACAACCTACTGGATTAGCACTATCTCAAAGATGAAATCACTGAAAACACAAATAGGCAGCAACCGCAATTAAAACTCCTATTGTCTTGTCTCATCGAGAATCAAGAATATCAAATGGCAGCACTTGACCTGGGATTGCGAATTGTTATTTATTTTAAATGTAAATTTTTACATACGTTGTCAAATAACTTAAAATTATGACGGAAACAATTGCGGAGTTCATGATGGTTGGTTTATTGACAGAATAGATTTTCAGCCAATTAAAATGAATCGTAAGATGGTCAAAACAAACGGTTTCGCAGTGCCGTATTCTCAAACATACAGGTACTTCACTTATCTTGGAAGTCTGATCAGCCTTAATGGGTTGGTGTCTGACGAAATCTATGCACAGATTTGGAAAGCTCGTCTGGTTTTTGCCAACTTACGTCACATGGGGCGAAAGCGAGATATCCGTTTGTCGATTAGCCGACGAGTATACTGTGCGGCAGTTCGTCCTGTTCTACTTTACGGCTGCAGAACGTAGAGAAGAAGATACTCGTAAGCTACCAGTATTTGACCACAGATGCCTTAGAAATATCGCTCGCATCTACTGGGATCACCGGGTAAGTAATAGTGAGGTTAGACGCAGGGTGTTATGGAGTGATAGTAAATCAGTTGGTTGGGCCACGTGCTACGTGTGCCTGAACACCGATTACCACGATGCGCAATACTGACTACTGTTGGGAATGGTTGGAATAAAGTTAGGGGCGACCAAACCAAAACGTGGCACCAGTCTTTGAAGTCACTAAATTCTGGTTTGAGCCATGTTGGTAGATGCAGACTACTTGGTTGGAGTCCGCGTGACTATCGTAACCAATGGTTGGAGACTGTGGGTGGCATGGTTCAGAATCAATCACAATGGCGTAGGTGTGTACACTCTGTCTTCCCTTAAAATTGCTTTATTTCTACAAACCCATTCTTCCTTCCTTTACTATGTGCTTTTACACAATATTTCTTTTATTTATTACTGCTATTGAAGCAACTAGTACAATGAATTTGATGTTCGCCTTGTGCTAATGAGGTGTGTCAACATGGGACGAATGCATATATGTGCCTGGTGCTACATCGTAGCTGACTAACTTACTCAAAAGTACAGGTCAGTTTCTAGATACGTGTAGAAAAAAAAGAGATGTCTTTAGTCATATATTATGAGTAGAAATTTTTCCGAATGGTAAAGAAACTTAGAAAGGAATCCCGGAAGATGTTGAGAATAAAGCACCAAGTGGATGCCCGGATGAATTCCAGTTCCTAAAATTACGTTTAGAAAAAAAAGATGAGTGGTCAACCATTTAAATATTTCGATTAGTGGGTAGGCGTGTAATTAAATCCTCAACGTTTCCGTAGCAATGAACCAGAGACAGCACTTCTTACTTATCAACTTTGCTTTGTCTTGTCTCATAAGATCGTGTAGATCAGATTTCTTTTTATAACAAAAAGCTTCAAAGTCTTTAGAATCTAAATCACATCTCCGAATCCGACAATATTGATCCGAATTATTTTTCGATACACAGTTCACGATTGTGGTGTCCATGTTTTTTTTTCATAAAAATAATCTACTTAATTTTTTGCGAGGTTGTTCGAAGTCACTGGATAAAGTTACCTTCCTTCAGTATGTTCTTTTTATTCAGCTATATACGAATTATTCAATGCAGCCATTTCTAAAGTAGACTAATACCAATTTTGATGAATTTCCTATTTGCTTCTTATCATGGTTTACATAGTCTTCGACCGCGTGCGTAAACTTGAGGTCTAGTTAAGTTGAACGGAAATGTTGAAACGTCCTAGCTTACGTCGAAGTCACACTTCGCGATACAAGAAACGAAGTACGAACACTGGCGCATGGGCCAGTCCATGGCGTGAACTTTACCAATGCGTGTTTGTTGTCCTCGACTTTGATGGGGATCGGTAAACTGCCCAATATTGGGTGACATGACTGCCAGTAATTTGGCTGAGTGCAAGTGACATTTTGTTGGCCCTATAGATTTAGTGTGTTATATTTCTTAGAGACTGAACAAAAGCGAAGTTGTTCCACTAAATTTTAAGAATAATTCATATGAATCATATTTAATGATTGCCATCTGGCACATTGGTGGTATACTGAAATCCGCAATCTAACTGTCTATTGATAATTCAGATGGAGTGGTCAAGTAGGGTACTGAATACCTCAATTTTGTTCGTTCTGGATTGAAAGTTTAGATTCAAACTTTCACATTACAATCTTAAAATTCAAGGAACCTTGTCAAAGTATAAAATAGAGTGGTCACAATATTTCCCAAAGTATTAGGATCTGTTTGATGGTTTCGGTTACTTAGAGGTACTTTTCTGAAAAAAATATACACAGTGATTATTCGATAATGGTACGTGGGCGAAGGAGGTGTTTAGATAGTCTGAATGGTATTAGACGTATTGTATATTTTCTTACCTTTATGGTTAATCTTGTTGACTCGGAAGTATGTTCACGTCCTATTCAGGCCAGTCATTTGTCGTTGATCCAGGTTATGTCGAAGTTCTGTAAAATAGATACCAAGAGGGTGTCTAGTGTAGATATTCGTCTAAGGATAATTAGTGTTCCATTGATAGAAAGGAGAAAACCGAGAGTAACTTCATATGAAGATCCTGTTTTTCATTGTATATTTAGTGTTGTGGTAGGACGTAAGGGGCTCATAACTTTTCAAAAACTATTCTTATGAAGATTAATATTTTTCTTATTGAATTTCGATGCGTTAATAACAACGAATCTTTACTGTTTACGCTTACTTTCATAACTTGAAATTCTGGTTACATCCTTGTTATTAGGTCTGAGATCTTATTTCTTGCCACCAATTGACGGTTTCGGGAGTAATGAGACTGGGCTTTAACAGGCTGAATCTTTTCTACTTCATCCTCAAAGCTTGGAGGGGGAACAGCTTGTTTTCATTCTATCGGCAGTCGGTGCGACTCTAGTAAGTAGCTAAACGAACCATGCACTTGTGTGCTGAAAGGGTTCCACATACTGTTTCAGGGTTGTACGTCGGATGCTGTCACATCCATGATAGAAGCAATTGTGGTTATCAAGGGGGCACGTAGCATAACACTTACGCGCAGGCCTTAACCCAACCCTTGAACAGTATCATTACTCTCTGCCAGCTCCCTCAGATTTATTCATTATGCTAAATTAGAACGCACAACGGCTGTGCTACAATACATCAGTGACAATAGTTTCCGTCTACGTCCAGAAAAGTGCCAATTTTTCTTAAAGTCGGTAAAGTACTTGGGATTTGTCTTTGACGCCTCAGGCCACCGACCAGAATCTGAAAACATTCAGGCTGTTCGACTGATGTCGACTGCCACCAATGTCTCTGTCCTATGATCTATTTTGTGATTAATTGGCTACTACTCAGTCTTTGTGCCGTCTATGCATGACATCCGAACCCACTGAAC